TCGTTATGTCCCCTTCATCAAATGTCAATTCCTCGTTATGTCCCCTTAATCAAATGTCAATTCCTCGTTATGTCCCCTTCATCAAATGTCAATTCCTCGTTATGTCCCCTTCATCAAATGTCAATTCCTCGTTATGTCCCCTTCATCAAATGCGTCACAAAGTGGTGGAATCAGGCTCTCGTCAATTGTTGGGGATGTAGAGTTATTGGTATCATCTTAAAGCTCATTCGTTTGTCTTGGTTTGGACGGAAAAAATATCCATGTATTTCTTTAGTCATAACAATATCGATACGTAATTAGGTCACAGTGCATATTTTCAAAACCCAAAAAGTTCCTTAATTTTAATTGTAGAACCATAAAACCAAGACAGAAAGACGAGCCATGAAAAGGGCTTTCTCCCCTGTAGAAAAACGCTACTTTACCTATTTTTCTTGTAGTAAGAGTTTTATGGCACTTGCAACACAATAAGGTCATATGAGCACCAGAAGATTAGAGTAACAAACACAAAAAAGAAGGAGGAGGGATAAGGAGGATAGATGTTTGATAGGAAAGAAGAAGCTAGCCACACCAGAGCACCCGCCAAACACCCACTGGTGTGGTAGTGCACATGTGATAAGTCTCTCAAATTCCTGATTGCCAATTTCAGAACATTCCCGTGGAATTCCGGACAGTTGGCAAGCCTTTACTTTATTTCATGACACAACAATTTTGATCAAGATTTAAGCAACAAGCACAGGTTTTTATTTTCTTCTGTTTATTTCATGAAAATTATTAAGTCCAGGCACCACATAAACATCTGAGTAATAAAATCCAACACGTCTCCAATCCCGCAGTGAAGAAACTATTTCATGATTGAGCTGGCCGCAATGTCCTGTAGAAAAAAAGAGTTTATTTTTATTTAGTAGATTTATTATTACGGCACTCGCAACGCAAAAAGAGTATGGTTTCAGAGTTCAGAAATAGTTGCAACACAAACAGGTCATGTAAGTGCCGAAGGTCAGAGGTGTTTCTAGAAAGTACCTTACAATGAAGAGAAAGAGAGATAAGGAAGATAGTTTAGTTTTAGTAGAGGTTTTACGGCGCTCGTAACTGCATAAGATCATATGAGCGCCAGAAGATTAGAGGTGTTACAAGAGAGTAACAAACATTTTTTAAAAAAGGAGGAGAAATTAGGACAATAGATGTTTAATAGGAAAGAAGGAGCAAACAACACCACAGCACCCGCCAACCACCTACTAAGGACGATAGATATATAGATATTTGATAGGAAAGAAGGAGGAGCAATGCGGATGACAGATGTTTGATAGGAAAGAAGGAGGAGAGATAAGGACGATAGATGTTTGATAGTAAAGAAGGAGGAGAGATAAGGACGATAGATGTTTGATAGTAAAGATGGAGGAGAGATAAGGACGATAGATGTTTGATAGTAAAGAAGGAGGAGAGATAAGGATGATAGATATTTGATAGTAAGGAAGGAGGGGAGATAAGGACAATTGATGTTAGACAGTAAAGAAGAAGGAGAGATAAGGACGATAGATATTTGATCGGAAAGAAGGAGGAGAGATAAAAGATAAGGACAATTGATGTTTGATAGTAAAGAAGGAGCGATAAGGACGATAGATATTCGATAGTGAAGAAGGAGCAAACCACACCAAAGTTTCCAGAACTCAAATCGGCCAAAAATTTCAGATAGAAATTTGTTCTTCTAAGGTAGCAAGTCGGCAAGGCTGGAGCAACCACGGGAGGACAAAGGAAGGAAGAAATTATTTTTTTTTATAGTAGAGGGTTTTACGGCGCTTGCAACTGCATAAGGTCATATGAGCACCAAGGGAAGGGTGTCAACAGAGAAATCTTTACAGGGAATCAGACGTAGACTGCTCACCTCTCTAGCTTCAACAGCACAAAGTCTGCTTCGACTATCAAGGCACCTCAAAATAGCAGGTCACAAGAAAGTGACAAACATACAAAAGAAGTAGAGGAAAATGACAATAGTATGGATCAGGAAAGAAAAAGCAGCAGTTCCCTGTTGTAGATCAGGCTCAGTTATGAGCGTGACATGAGTCAGCCCATTTACAATTCTACTATGCTTGAACGAGAAATGTCCCCCCTTTGGGAATGGCCTAAAGACACTACAGTCAGTGGCACTGCCCCGGGGGGTGAAGGAAGAAAGAAATATGGGAAGCTTTTTAGTTTTAGTAAGAGTTTTATGGCACTTGCAACACAATAAGATCATAAAAGTACCGCAGAATAGATGAGTTACAAGAGAATAACATACACAAAAGAGAATGAGGAGAGATACGGACGATAGATGTTTGATAGGAAAGAAGGAGCAAACCACAGCAGAGCGCCCGCCAACCACCCACAACATGGGAAGACCAACTACAACTGACCGTGTTTTTCTGTATGTCCGCCTGCCAGTCCTCCTGTGCTATCTGAGGTATGGCCTTGAGCAACACGCTACACGCCTTCTCCGCGTTCTCTTTGAACGTCTTCATAGCCAGTTCCACGTGCACCTGCGCAGACAGAAACCACACGTCAGCATCAGCAACTACAACAGCAACAACAACAACATCATCAACTACAACAGCAACAACAACAACAGCAACAACAACAGCAACAACATCATCAACAACAACAGCAACAACAACAAAGACAACAGCAACAACAACAATGCACACACAGAGAATCACATATCAACAACAACAGAAACCACACGTCAACATCATCAACAACAGCAACAGCAACAACAACAATAATGTACACGCAGTGAACCACACATCATCAACAACATAAACACCATCAACAACAACAACAACAATATAATCTATTCACAACAAGAACAACAACAGCAACAACAACAGCAAAAACACTAACAACAACACCAACACCAACAACACAACACTCACAGCCTCGTGGTCCTCTCGCCAGCTGTCGTAGTCAGTCACAAGTGCCATGGAGGCGTACAGCAGGCCTGCTTCTTTGGCCAGTACCACCTGTGGGAGATATACACACAGATAGACACACACATACACACACAGATAGACACACACACACACATACACACACACACACACAT